TCGCCGCCAGCATCTCGCCGCCAGCATCTCGCCGTCGGCCGCCTCGCCGTCGGCCGCCTCGCCGCCAGCATCTCGCCGTCGGCCGCCTCGCCGTCGGCCGCCTCACCGTCGGCCGCCTCACCGTCGGCCGCCTCGCCGTCGGCCGCTTTGCTGTCGGCCGCCTCGTCGTCGGCATCTCGCCGTCAGCTTTCAGCGTTTCTACGTCACGGTTTGTCATACCTCCGGTGAGTCACGCGCTAGTTAAACGCATCCCTTGTCTGTTCTGTGCATTTCCTTGTTGGCGTTGCCTTATGTACGTCATTGTACAATTTTGCAGGGCGTTACGTCTTGTTCGTTAGTTGGTTGTAAAGCGCTGTTGTCTGTTGTGGTTTTTCAAGGTTGTGCCGCATGCAGCGTGCTTGTGCAGTCTTATTTTGTTTGCATCATAAAGCAGATCATGGCCGGGCAGCAGATCAGCAGTTGATAGGCAAAACAGCAGATCAGCAAACATCTAGGAAAGACAGCAAACTAGACCAGCTTACCGGATTTTAGCAGCACGTGTGCCGTGGTGTGGTGTATTGTGCTGCATGACAATGTAACTATTTTGTAAGTGTCAATTTGTAAAATTATGTGCTGCATAATTTATATTTGCATCCTGAATCAATTAATAATATTTTCTCATGAATATTTCCTTGAAGCATTAGATATAAATGTTTTGTCAAGTAAATGTATTGTTTATTATTGATTGTTTTTACGTAATATATATTAAACTAAATTTGTGTTTAACGTGTTGTCGTTACGTGATGCTCCCGACGTCGGCGTGTCGTCCCCAGCGGGATCATTGTAGGACGCTTTGTTGGGGCTGTGCCGGGCAACATGAGAATCGTAGCACATCAGGGCGTAACCTTTCGATGCACTCACCTCGCTGAACGCATCTAATTCCCGTTCTGCTCCTTGCTGCTACACAACTTGCCTGCCCACATGCACCACATGCACAACTTGCCGTGGCCATCGCTGTCGTTTTCTCGCCGACGGCGAGGTCGCCAGCGCCCTCTCGCCGTCGCCTTATCGCCGTCGGCGCCTTGCCGACGGCGCCTTGCCGTCGGCGCCTTGCCGTCGGCCGCCTTGCTGTCGGCGTCTCGCCGTCGGCGTCTCGCCGTCGGCGTCTCGCCGTCGGCGTCTCGCCGTCGGCGTCTCGCCGTCGGCGTCTCGCCGTCAGCGTCTCGCCGTCGGCGTCTCGCCGTCGGCGCCTTGCCGTCGGCGCCTTGCCGTCGGCGTCTTGCCGTCGGCGTCTCGCCGTCGGCGCCTTGCCGTCGGCGCCTTGCCGTCGGCGTCTTGCCGTCGGCGTCTTGCCGAAGGCGCCTTGCCGTCGGCGTCTCGAGCGTGTAGGGAGTACGGCATGAAGGTCTTTCCCCGTATGTTCACTGCGTGGATGCCACTTTGTGTCCGTTCGTGATGTAGTGATGTCGTACATACGTTCGGAGCAAAGCTTCTTGCTGTGGGTGTTTCGTGGCGCGGTGTTTTCCCCTGTTGTGCCGGCAAGCAGCAACAGCAGCAGCGACAGCAAAAGCACAAAGGCAGCAAACTGCAAAGATAAGTTCAGCAAACACAGATAGAAGCTGCAAAGCCGGCCGATGGTTATTGTTGCGGTGTTCAGTGGCTTGTATTTGTGCGCAATTGTATGTATGTTTGTATGTTGGTGTTCAAATGTGGGTGAGAATGTGCTCGCGCGCGCGCGTGTGCGTGTGTAAGTGTCTGTAGGTGTGTGTAAGAGGGTGTATGTGTGGTGTGTGTAGGTGTGTGTAAGAGGGTGTATGTGTGTCTGTAGGTGTGTGTAAGAGGGTGTATGTGCACGCGCACGCATGTATACGTATGTGTGGGTATGTGTGAAGGTGCTACTGTTTTTACTTGTGATGGAGAATTCCCAACTGCCCGCGATCCGCCTGTGTGCTTATGTTTCTGCATTTTGTGCGCAGCTGCTCATGTTGTTTTGCCGTGCAAAGTCTGTGCTCGTTGCGTCCCCTGCTAGCTGATTAACAGCGTGTGTGTGTGTGTGTATTTCCCCGCCCGCCTCCCGCCCGATCCCCCCGCCGGTCTGAGCGAGCTTGGGCGAGGACTTCCAACAGGACAACATGTATCGGCGCGACGAGCCGTCGCCACCGCCGTACATCGCCGTACATCGCCGTCATGTGTGAAAGTGTAAGTACGAGAGGGGCCTCGTTTCACACGTCCCCCCCGTCCTGCAACGCTTTGCCATGGCATGTCGGATTTGGGATGCCGGATTTGGATTGCCGACCACCAATCAATCTGCATCATCAATCCTTTGTTGTGGTATGCATGATGGCATGGCATGGTCGAGGGTCGTTTGGTTCCATGTCTTGCGTTTCGTTGGAATCTGTTGCGAATTCGGCCACTCCGAAACCGCCTTGTAGTGTGTATGTAACCACGTCATCCCCGCCCGAATCCCCTGATCACTCGCTGCAACAACACCTGCCGGGTCTGGGCCGCCACCGTCATTTTCACCATCAGCATCACCGTCGACGTGGAAGACATGTCATTTTGATCACCGTAGGCGTCTTGCCGTCGGCG